TGATGATGTTCATGAAGATGATAATTCCATGGTGATGATGATGATGAAGAAGATGATGATGATAATTTTTGTTATTTTGCTAGAGAATTTAAATTTTTTTATAAAACTTATTGCTAAAACCATTTTTTTTAAATGTACACCTGAAAACCGTTTGAACTGCACATTAGGCATCCTTGATTCTTATTTGTTTGTAACCAAAGATTCTATTAAAACTCAAATTCTATATATCTGGTTTATGCTGTTAATGTTAATACATTTTTTGTTTCATGGCTTAATTATTAATATATTTTAATATAAACTCAATAGACCCGATAATCTACCAGAAATACACAAATATTTCAAAACTCATTTTTTTCTATGGCGGCGTTAATAATAATAATGGAAGCAGCCTTCTTCATTGAAAAGCAAACGTTGTTTGTGAGAGGTTTTATTTGTGGTCTGGTTGATTGGTGGAAGTGAATTGAATTGAACTGCGATGGCTCAAGCCAATGCAACCACACAAATTTTCATGCCTCATTTTCAATTTTCTTCCTGATATATCTACAAGAAGAGTTGAATAAATACTTGCTTTGAACGTGCTCTTTATGAATTAATTAATCAATCAATCAACTAATCAATTAAATTTATATTGTTCAATTTTTAGACATTCAACTGGGCTCAGCCTAAAACTTGCAAAACAAACAATTACAAAAAATTATTTCAAGACAGACTTGTCTTTTAATGGAGAATGTTTGAGGCAGGGTTAGCAACATGGTTGATGCTTAGGTGGAAGGCAGCATTGTATTGAAAGGTTTTGAATTGTATTAAATTGTTTTGCATTTTATTACACTAAATTTTATTGAATTGTGTTGAATTTTTTAGATAGAGTGACTGTTGTTCCATTTGATTGCGAACTACGTGGGCTGCAGATGCTTGGGCATACATTTTTGAAAAGCAATTTATTTTATCATTAATATGCAGGCTGAATGTCCTGAAGGAGACTACAACTGATGGCCATCCGTGTCCGGCTACAAATGAAGTGCACCCACATTAAACGCTACTAACGCCTGGCACGTTGTGGGGTAGCAGAAACGACGTTAAACAAATTATGCTGATTGCTGGATTAGTTAACATTGCATTAATCGTAACTTGATTTTTTTGAAAACATTTTAAAATAAAATCAATTTTAAACTAAACCGACAGTCTTTTTAATAAAAGAAAAACAAATTTCAAATAAAATCAGCATGCACCCCTCTATAATTTTATGGCTGTCATGTTCCTTAGTTATGGATTACAGGATTGAATGAGAACAATTAAATTTTTACAAACATTTAATAATATAAAGCAAATAACATAAAAATAATGCTAATTATATAAAGCGATTAATTAACATAACATTGAAAATATTAATATTATACTGTAAATTAAATACAAATGAAATATTTCGGAAAAAGTTAAACATTTTTTCTCAACTTTTTAGTTAATAATTTTGTTTATATCTTCAAAAAACAAACCTGAAAAAACAAACAAATAAACATTTTGTTGATTTTTAGAATGGAACAACCGTTGTAATATATTATTCAATGGGACAAAATAGCGTTAGATGGTGTCGAATAAAGTATGAACTATCAGCAAACATTTTTGATTCAACAATTTGTTGAATCATTTGTTGAAAATTTTGACAAATTATTAAAGAAAATTTAAATATCTTCAATTATATCAAATAAAAATTTAAATTTATTTAGCGCCAATTATAGTTGCTCCTCATCAACGCTCTCCTCGTGTAAAGCTTGTTGAAAGCAAAGCCTCCATTGGTGTAGATCACTAGGAGCTACCAAATAGGTATGTTGTTTTTGGGCGTTTTCTGAACCCAGCTAATGATAACCCAGATATACGTAATTCGATAGGTAGGCTGTTCCAAAAAATGCAAAATCTCTATCTGCTGTTTTCAGATTCCGATCTCTAACATACAGCGTGTTTGAATCAGTAGACCTTAGACGCCCATGTGATGCCATAGATGAAACTTTAATATATTTATTTTTTAAATATTTCGAAGCCAGGCCATTCAAACTTTTAAATATCATTACACTCAACTTGAACATGATTCTTTGTCTAACACGCAGCCAATGCAACTCCTTGAGAATTGATGCACGATTAAATTTTTATTTGCGGCATATCATTTTAGCAGCCTGATTCTGAACTATCTGAAGTTCAGACAACAGTTTATCAGCTATACCATATAGAAGACTGTTTCAATAATCCACTCTAGAGTTGACGAAAGCTTGTACTAATAGAGTCATTGTATCTCTATCTACCGATTTTGTGACTTGACGTAGCTGACGTAGTTGGAACATACATTTTTTAACCAATAGACTGATTTGTGAACCCATTGTCGTACGGGAGTTCATCACAATTCCCAAATTGGTGACCGTTTTACTGAAACTTATATCAGTCATGCTGATGTTAATCGATGAAGGTTCAACCGCTGACGTTTGTTGCCATGTACCAGCCAACATGAACTGAGTCTTGGTTTGATTCAACTTTAGCCAACTTTGACCCAGCCACGAGCCGACATCAGAGATAGTTTTTGTCAGTTTCTCTAATACGGTAGGCATCTCATCTGAAAAACATGAAACATAAACCTGCATGTCATCTGCGTACCCATGGCAATAGTAACCACCTTTCATTGGTTCCAAGAGACCACCTGAGTAAGAAATCTGCTAAGTCCGACCAGTAAGAAATGATTTGAACCATGTAAATTAGAATGTAGATGCACTTTAGTTAAAAAAAAGTTGGCGTTCATTGACTTGTGTCAAACAATTATATTTTATATTTTACAGAATTTTATTTTTGCATAATTTTCGTTTCGTCAAGCCATTTTTTGCGTGTGACCTTTTAATAAAAGCTTATTCAAGTTTTTTCATTTTGTTCAAACCTGAAATTTTTTAAGTGATAATTTTTTTGGTTAAACTTTTTAATGAAATTTTTTAAAGCCTGGTTTGGGTGGATAATGCGTCATGCAACATTCAACTGTTAATCTTTCTCGCTGAAATGTCAATAGATCGGTTGGCATTACACGTACTTCCATGCATCTCACATCACTTTTTAATATTAAAAATTGTTAATAAAATATCAGAAGCGACTAAAATAGTTTTCATATTAGTACAACCTAATAATTTGAATTAATTTAAACAAGGCAAATTAAGTTTTCTTTTGACTTCCTAAGCTCCTCAAAACATCCGCTGATCGATTTCAACCAAGTACATTCAGATCCATCGACGACCTCAATTTTAAACATATTGAAATCTTCTTTCAAACACTTTAATTTTATTTTTTAATAAACATTCTCAAGTATATAGGCTATTTTTCCAAAAAATTCCATCTCCATTTTATAGCCGCAAAGATCCATAATGTTTCACAATATTATAATGAATAAAAAAAATATTATCAGAGGCAATCATGAAATGAAATGCTAGTGGTCAGATCATATCACCAAAATACCTTTGACACTAGTGCCAAATTACCTAACAATACGATTTTTATTGGACAAAATATTTGTTGGTTTGAAAAAAATATTTGCCAGAAAAATCTCAAAATGAGAAAATATGATAGCATACCGAAAAGCATAGTGTTCAACGGAGAGGCAATCATACAGACGCCCGCATCAACACGCATACACGATAACATAAAACAGCATTAAACGTGATTATGTTTCGTGTTCAGCTTGTATACCAATGATAAAAAAAATATCTTACAAGTACGTAAAAATATCGCTTGCCATTTTTTTTAAAAGGAGGCCTGTGTAACTCATTTTATTGAATGACGGGAATTTAACGCCTTACCTGTTACGTTAGTGAATGAATGTTGCAGTAGTAACCATTGTACTAATAGTGGTCATTGTGTGTTGTAATATTATTTCTCAATCACAAATAGTTTTCTGGTAATACTTTATAAGCAGATGTAGAACTGAAAATGATAGAAACTAGTTTGAAAAAATTTTAAATCTGTTGAATTTTTTGTGAAAGAATTGCAGTGAAAATTTCAAGAACAATGTTAACAACAATTACCGAAAATGTTTACGAAATAAGCTGTAAAATTGTTGCTGGAACAAAAGAGAGAAACTCCAGAAAAGAAGAGATTGCAGTGTCTAATTTTAAATAATGCAGTGACGCGCCAGCCAGCACAGCCAATAAGCACCGTTTAAATGCTTCAATGATGATTTAGTGCTTTTTTTGGAACAACTTTCAAGCTAAACTCTTATTTATTTTTAAATTAGAAAGCGAAATGTCTGAATATAAAATTCATTAATTAGTCCGTAAAATTTAAATATATTGAATACTTCTAAAAAATGACTTTGAACTCTAAAAAACGAAAACTGAAAAATAAATAAGAATATCGGTCTAAATATTCATCAGTCGTATGAATTGAGGCGTTATATTATAAATAAAATTTTATTTTTTTCCAACCCAATCTTTTAAGCAAGCTTGCAGAAGTTGTCATTGCATGATTAACAGTAAAATTGAGACGTGTATTTAAAATAAACGAAAGCGGTTACCATTCACAATTCACATTATTTTTCAAAATTGCTCAATACATTTTGAAATCACCCAAACTTTCGGGAACCTTGTTTCGATTCTCGTGTTTTACAAAAGTTACGCTAACAAATTTGACAGTGAAATGCCGCTTGACACAACATGCCTTGAAATGTTACAACATTTTCTAAATGATGTTGTCAGAAGAAATGAATTGCACAATCTAATGAAAATCTGAGATAGATATACGAATTAAAATTACCAAAGCAGCAGGGAGTAAACGATCGAGTTTGACGAACTTTAAAAAATGAAAAACGGCCGAAATATTCATAAAAATAAATGCTAATTTATTGCTTTTATAACTAGAAATAAAAAGCGAAATTGTCAAGTAAATCATTTCATTACATTTATAGAAAAAAGACAAATATTTATTCATATTTTATTAAATGATAAAAATGAAAAATAAAAATCCTTTCCCCCACAGACAAGATGAAGACACAGAAAAATAAAATGGAAAGTGAAAACTTAGTCGGATGTACCACACAGCGGAATGAAAAATATAAATTTAAATGTAGTATTAAGTTGGTTGTTCGTTGTTTGCCGAAGATATTCATTAAACAGCAAGTCCTTAAAGGCAAAATTAATGTTATATCAACACGAATAATAATAATCAGAAACACGTTTCATGAACAAGATTAGAAAACTAAAAGAATGAAAGAGGTTTAAGTTTTTAATCACTATTGTGAGAAACATTTTATGGGTTAGTTAGTAAATTAATTGCTGAAGGGTTGAAATAATAAAATATTTGAACACCGATTTGGTTGAATAAGATTAAGAGTAAGATGTTCTTCTCTTAATTAAGTTAACTTAATTAACTTGATCACTGGCTGATCGTGTTAATGTTCATATTAATGTTATTATTGAATAATTTTTTAAATGGAATTATTTTGTTTTTAAAATATTAGTAACTAATAAACACTAAGAAACAGTTTTACTGAAAAGCTAAATTATTTTTTAAAAATTTAATTAATTGTTGAATTAATTTTTTGAATTAATTAATTTAAATTAGCAACAGAGGTGTACCGGGCGTCTGACGTGGGTGAACCCTTTGATGGAGGCTTGGTCACCAAAGAGGAAGTAAATAGAAGTCATAATAAAAAGGACCCTCGGAGCCTCGTAAAGTGTCTATCGTGGGCGAACCCAATGGTGGAGGCTCAGTCGCCAAAGAGGAAATAAATAGTAGTCACAATAAAGAAAATCCTCAGAGCCGTATTGGGTGTCTGTTAATGGCGAACCGCATGTTGGAGGCTTGGTCGCCAAATGGAAAAACTATCTTTCAAAATAAAAAATCTTCAGGCGTGCCAAGTATTTATCGTTGGTGATCCCCGTAGCCTCCATAGTCAAAAAAAGCATTAACAATTACGGTCCCCAATACATGCGCAGGGCGGGAGTCGGATTGTGGGCTTGGACGGTCCTTTTGCACTGCGTCGGTATGGATGGGATCGGTCTGTGCGTCTTTTTAACGATGCGATTAGCAAGGTAAGGGTTTTACGTATATCTTGAATCGGCCCTGCGTCAATGCATAGACGGGCTTGGTCGGGATTTTCCCTGTCGGTGGTGATGGCTCTTAAGGATAATTAGACTTAAAACTAATCTCGATAAGGCACATCATAGCACCATTGTGGGAGCTTCAAAGCCATTAAATTAGAACAAACAAACCAACAATAATTAATATTTGAATCGTGTTGCCACTTAAATTTAACGCTTATCAGAATTGCTCATATTATTTTAAATGAACGCCTTCTAAGTCTAGGCCACATCAAAAAATGTTAACGCCTTGACAATGTTAAACTATCTTTTCTCGGCTGTGAAAAAAGATTTTCTTTTTTGTGAGATTGATGACATTTAAAAACAGTGTTCGTTCATTTGCAAGCCCGTCCGAACCTGATTGCCGTAGTGAAGGTGGTGGCTTTGAAATTCAAACTTTTACTATTCAAACATTTTTGTCATGTAAGTTTGTTTAAAAAATTTTACTTTCAATGTTTCACAAGATCTTGCAAGGTTCATTTATTACAAATGCATATTCAGCATTGAGTGCATTAAATTGAATTGTGGATCTTTGTAAATAGCAAATTGATAATTTTGTTCACACCAGAATTTTTGTTGACAAATGTAAAAGCATTTTGTTTTGAACCAACTGTTTGGCAGCAGCGTCAATCTAAGGCCTGAGTGAATTGAAATTATTCGTCGTCATTTCTGTCGTAAAAATTTTCACCCAAGCAGCGGTTGTGCTGTTTTTCAAAAATCAGCGGAATGTTGTAATTGATTGCTGCCTGTGTCCATGAACATCGCCTAATACATCTTTTCCGATGTTGTGTGCTGCAACAACAATTTTTTATTTCGACAACATATTTTTTGAAAACAAAATGAATTTCAACAAAATATTTCAATAATATACAAATCACACAATGCAAATAACCGAATCACCAGATGAAAGTGTACATTTATTTAGCTAATTCGACTGAGACGTTTTTGAGACTGAACATGCAGCCAGCAAGCAGCCCAACAAGCAACACACACAAATATGCATAGCGGAGGCAGTAGAAATATTTGCAAACTAACACGTCAGAAACGATAAGTTTTCTTTTTTGTTCTAAAATATAATCACGAGTAAACCAACCAACCAACTGTTCAAAATGTTAATAAACTTCCTCATTTCAACACATCACTTCAAAAAAAATTAAAGTTTGTATAGCGCACATAATAGAATATGATTAGCAAAACAAAATGAGGATTTCAAGAACAAGCCACATAATTAAAAAATGACTGCATGTTCCGGCAGAGATTTGATAGCCCGCTCGTATTGCATTAGATGTTAATCACATCCGTTTAATCTATACAATCAGTATGCATATATGCAAGGTTGTATTGAGGTGTGGGTTAATTATGTGCTCTGCATACACGAATTGTCTGCGGTTTCATGTTGGCGAATGTGTTTTGCATTCGATGTTAATCATGCAAACACAAACATTGCCATGCAAACGATGGCACCTAGTGTTATTTATCGAAAGAACGCGAAGTTATCTTCCATCCTGTGAGTGAGGTGCGAGTGAGAAAAAATGAGCAAGTCACTTCACTCGACGGATCTGTAAAAGGAGACTGGATGGAATGGAAACAGTGACAAATGGACATGGAAGGGTATCTACCAATCAATTTGAAAATATTTTTCTGATTTGTTTCTAATCAATCTAATTTTGAAATTATATTTTTGAATTTTGTGTTATTCTAACAGTTTAGAAATTAAAAGCAAACAAACAAAAGAAAAACGTTTTTTCAAAATTTGATAACAATATTTTTTTTAATCATTACATATAAATATATATATTTACTACAATATCTATAAATTCTCCCGAATTCGGTAGAATTTATAGAATATTGTAAAAATTATGGTCTATTACCAACATATATATATATATATATATATATATATATATATATATATATATATATATCCTATCTTTCATTCATTTTTAAAGTCATTGAACCAGTTGTTATCAAACAATTGTTGCAGCATTTAAACAAAAACAATTTGTTACCAAAGAACCAATCCGGCTATCGCCAATATTTTTCCATAAAAACTGCACTCATGGATATTTTCTCCCAGTTGTTCTTTTCAATATATATATATATATATATATATATATATATATATATATATATATATATATATATATATATATATATAGCTTAAGGCGTTTCAGTGCTAACAAACAATCTCTTCGTTTTCGGTTCAATTATGTCTTAAAAAAACTTGCTGATTTCTGTCAAATGCAGTTTTCTCATAACAACTTTACCGATTTTATTGTAAACTTAGCTGAAGATAATTCTTTTTTACCAATGGCTCACCTTCGTTAAAGATTACATTGATCTTTTTGTCAAGGAACAAGATAGCTGGAAAGATTTTAATTGACAAGTTTTTGTGCTTCATGTGGAATAATTCTGACGAGTTGGAAGAAGAAGATTTGGTGAAAATGTTACTTGACCATTCTGGAATTTGGAATATGCAAAATTACTGAAAAAAACTATGCTAGAGACAAAAATGTTTTAAATTTAGCTGCCTAAATCTACAAGTGCTTGCAAAGTCAGGGATAGGAATTTAGTGAACTTGTCAGCATTTGCAAATTTATATTTTACGAAGTATTAGAAGATTTGTTTCAGAAGGTTTTTGTTTGTCAATCTCATGGAAAAGCGGATAACTCTAAAATGTGAAATATGGTCTAAATTTTAAAACAAGTAATTAAAGTAATCAGCATGATAACAATGAGAATTTGTCCATTGATGGTTGTCGTTGTTTCACGTTTAGCAAATGATTCCAAAACATCCGCAGGAATGAGAAGCAGCAACAATCCAGCTTGTGTTAAGACATCACATCAATCACATGAGAAATGTAATGATCGGGCAACTTTTGTTTCATTGAAATTAAAAATAAGTTAATTTAGCCATGAATTTCCTTCTTGTTGATATTTCATGTTTGGTCCTGGTTACTTCACTCTTAATTTTATTATAATTGTTTTTATTTTATTAATTAATTTATATCATTTATTTGTATCCGTTAATATAATTTAGTTAATGTAAAAATTTTTTCTCACTAAAGTAATTTTTTGCCTCCATTAATAAGTCGTCCACCTTCACTAATAGTTTACTTTATTAATAATAGTTCAAAGTTAATATACTGAAGCTATCTTTTTTTTTTAATTGACTGGTAAATTGTGCAAAAATGTCGTCTTTGAACTCTCTTCAAATTATGCACACGATTGGTTTCTGGTTGAGAAACTTGTTCATTAAATCGTTTGCATTATTATTTATATGGGACAGTGTTTGTTGTTCGTCATGTCCCATCAATTACCATGTGTCAAGAAAAACCTACAACTGCTAGACACGACATGATTTCTTACCTTCCATGGTTTTGAACCGGATTAAATTTTTGAATATTCATATGAAAATGAAACTTATTTTCTGAGCCGTAGCACAATGCAAAATCTGTCAACACTTATAAATCACGTTTTCCTGGCATCCATCTCATTTAGGCTGACGCAACGCGACAAACATCCAGCCCGTGTTCCCATCATTTTTCATTCCAACTCCTCGGACAAAGAAAAAATAATATACATGAAAATAATTTTATCCAAAAATTTTAACAGAGTTTTTGATTTAATAATTTTTATAGTTTTACAATTAAGGCAAAAAAGTTTTATTGCTGGTTGTTGGTCCATTTCTCTATGTCACTTTCAGTAAAACACGTCAATAAGTTCGGTGGTCTTTGTCTTTTTAATTTCAAACAAAATTTCAAGCCTAAGCATGTCGGGCGACAGTTTAATTTCCAATGAAATCATCGTTTGTTTGAATCCTTGCCAACGTAAATTTGTATAATGATTATTCTTTAGACAACAAATCTTTCACGATGATAATAAACCTGACGATGGTAACAAAACCTAATACTCATTCATTACATTATAAGATCCAGTGTATAAATGAACATACTCATTTCATCAAACTTTTTTGACGTCTAACAAAAGATAATCAGTGCTTCATTACAAATTACATGAAAAATTTAAAAGTCTAATTTGGTTCGACTTGGCTTATGAATATTTTTTTTAGGTTTACCTTTGACAGCATTGAAAGATGGTTCATGCGTACGTACTTGCACATGGCGATGATCTCTGATGATTTTGAATGTGCTTTTTATGAACTTAATTCTCAATTGATGAAAGCAACAAAAAAATGATCCAATGAATAGTACACAGCAGTAGTAGTAGTAGTAATAGTAGTAGTAGTGTAGTAGTAGTATTAGTAGTAGTAATAGTAGTAGAAGTAGTAGTAGTGTAGTAGTAGTATTAGTAGTAGTAATAGTAGTAGAAGTAGTATAGTAGTAGTAGTAGTAGTAGTAGTAGTGGTAGTGTAGTAGTAGTGTAGTAGTAGTAGTAGTAGTAGCAGTGGTATTAGTAGTGGTAGTAGTAGTAGTTTTAGTAGTAGTAGTAGTAAATAGTAGAAGTACTAGCAGCAGCAGTGGTAGTGATTGTAATATAGTGGTAGTGGCTTGAGTTGTAGTAGTAGATGTATTGTATTAGTAGCAGTAGTAGCAACAGTAAAAATTTGGCATAATTTCTGCATGAGCAAACAGATATGAGATATGTAAGTTTGAAAACTTCTGTAGCACAGTCAACAATGCACTCTAATCAAGTCAACAAAACGTGAATTGTGGCGCCAAAACTCATTAAAACATTCAAAATAAAATGGCTGACATACACTTTGAAAAAATATTCAAGTAGATTTTAATAAGTAATCCTGGATTTTAATCTTAGTTTTATTTCATTAAAAAAATGTCACCCACCCTGTCAATTTTTTTGAAACAGAACAAAAAAATTGTAATCTAATTTACGACGGCATCAATCATTTTTTTCTAATTTTAATGATTTCGATCGAAAAATTTTAGTTTAATTTTTCGGCACTCCATATTTTACCAACATTAATTTTTAATCATTGTAATTAACTACGTTTACAAAAAGAAACTATACTTAGCATCTGTATGTAAGATATATCATACGTATATATGCGCTCAATACCCTGCCAAAAAATAGCACAATAGATTTTGGCGAAAACTAACAAATTGTTAACTTATTTTCTGACATTCTTTCTATTTTTACAAAACTTCTATAATTTGAATTTATTGGCTAAGTTAATTAACCATCTTGCAATTTTCATACATTAATCTCTTTTCAAAACTTGTTTCCATTTTTATTTTCAACTTCATTCTTTTTGTTAGTTTTGTCAAAAATCACATCTTGACTGACTGATAGACTTCAAAAACAGAACCCCATATAAATGCGTGGATTGACATTTTCTAACTGTCGTCTTCCAATGTTGTTATTTTTCAAATGTGTTTAAAAGTGAATTGAGGTTCAGGACTGATTGGAGCAAGAATTATTTTAAATGAAAGAATGGAATCAATGCAGACGGAAATGATTACAATCATCAACTATTAAAATTTTGTTTTGAAAAATTAAAATTTATTGTTGTTAATGTTGTAATAGTATTAAGTTTTCAAAAAAAGACAATATCAATTTTCTTCTTAATAACCTACATCAAAATCGCATTCATTAATTAAACAGTTGAAAGTTTACAAAGTTACTTGATAATAAATGATAATAAACCAGCAGCCATAATAAGGACGCTTCAACCAACGACAACACAGCACGGCAGCGTTCGATACCTCGACGTTGTATGGGACATTAAATTTTTGCACATTGTACAGACGACCATTGAATTTTATGATAGGAGAAACAGCGCAGAGAACAAAACATTTTTGATCGTTACTGTAAATCAGGAGCACATTTTCAATAACGGCTTCAATTTCAACAGTAACAACTAATTTCATAAGTAATTTGCAATTCAAGTAAATAATAATAATTCTTAATTGTACGAAAAACAAACTTTTGCTTTGATCGTTGGCATGTCGTTTGGCGGGGATGTAGATGTTGAGATTCAGACATTCCTCTAGCTGTTGGGCCGACAAATATTCTTGCATACGAGCCAACCTCGCAATGTAATCGAGCGAATGTTGGGCCATCAACTTTTTGGGGTCGATGGTGTTCTGCGGACAGACCGGTTTAAATTTTATGTGCGATTTGACGTACGCCTGTTTTCGTGCGGTTGTCGATGCTGCCAACTTTATCGTGGGGGATGATTTGCGTTGGAGGAGCGATGCGTTGGATGCTGGTGGTGACGCCGAGGCAGCTGATGATAATGTGGACCGTCTGAATTGCCACGGTACACCAATCTCTTTTTTATTCTTACATTTGTTTGTATGTTTAGAAATTTTTTTCGTAAAATCAACATTACCGTCATTATCGCTATTTTTGTCGTTGGGAGCATTTTTTGTTAAAGTTGCATATTTGACGCCGAGGTAAACTTCGACATCAACCAGTTTCTCGTTGTCGTATTCAGGTTGCTGCAGCAGACCTCGCAGCACAGGCCCGTACTTCAAGGTGATGTTTCGTTTTGCCAGGTGAGATGTAGATATGCTCCAGCAGGGCCGCATGCTGCTGACCATCCAAACTAACAAAACACGAATTCCAATCATTATCCCTCCAACGTAATGCATTTTCTATTGTAAAGATTAGAATAGATCAAACGAATTTAATGAAAGAAGTATGCAGAAAAACATTTTTTTTTTAAATAAAATAGTTAAAAAATTGTTAGCGCTTTAATATTTTTTCGAAATTTGAACAAAATGAAACGTTTCCATTTTGTTGAATTTCATAAGAAAATTAAACTAATAATTTAATAATTTCTTTTAAATGTTTACCAAACTAACATACTATATTTACAATACAATTTGGCAAACTCTCAACAATAACAACAACAATACAAAACGTGCGTTAGAATATCATACTCGGAAACACACTTTCTTCGCAACTCTGAAATCTAATCAGCGTAGCGCCATCTCGTCCAAGTAACATGCACAACATACATGCCACTGCTCCAGAAGCCTGCGATGCACGTAAGGTGATGGAATCCCCGCGAATGCATGCAGTGGAGTGTATGCCAATTCTAACGTTTTAATGTTTGTTTGCCAGTCAACAGCGTTGAGATCTTTATGTGGAGCATATATACTTCAACACGGGTTGGATGAATAAATTTTTATTTCTCTCTTTTTATTAATTTTTTACGAATCAGTAGTAAACAATGTAGTTAACAATATGCAAGCGTGTTTGTATGTTTGTCTGTGTTTTTGCGTCTGTCTGTCTTTCTGTGAGTCTCTCTGTAAGTGTCTTTGTGTGTCTGCATGTATATCTGTGCGTCTATGTGTATGGAGTGTTTCGTACCTTACTATTTTGAAATGGACGTGTTGAAAGGCCAAACTGGTTTTATGGTTATTTCGCGTCAAAGTGTAGAATTTATTTCATTCCTATAAATAATAATAATAACAAAATTTATAAAAATAATAATTACTATAATAATAACAGCAATAATAATAACAAAAGTGTAAAATTGACACTACGAAGTTAATTACGGGATTTTTTAAAATTTTGGATTAGGCAAACTTTTGAAAGGCACCTCGCACAGTTGCACAGAGACCGAAATGAGACAGACGCAGTTGTGCGTAAACAAAATTTAAAATCTGGAGATGGCTGGATAAAAAGTTTTTTTTAAATATAATTCAATTCTAACTAAAACAAGAACATAATCTACCGGCGTTTCGCGTGCGTATCTATAAAAAATTGAAATTCAACCTATAACATTTTTTTCAAAAACTAAATGATAAATTGTGATAATGATTTTAAATATAAAGAAATTCGATTGAAGCACACACGCAGCAACACACACACACACACACACACATCCACACACACATTCATATTATTATTACCAATAGAATACTTATAAAAGAAGTTATTAATGTTTTAAATGGTTTTAGAACAAAAACCTTAGTATCAATCTGCTCTATATTTTCCTCTGTTGTACGTGTTTGCTGGAATTCGTAGGCTTAGGTAAGGGAGAGCTTATAATAAACAAAATTTTCATGTAAATTTATGAAAATTTGTAAAGATAATTGTTTTAGCCCTTCAAAACCATGAAATTAAGTTAAACTGTTCACAGAACCACCGGTTTTAATACCAAAACCTGTTAAAATTTGAGTGATGAGCAAAAAAAATGTCGCCCCAAGTTTTGGCAAACAAGTATAAGCATTAGCAGACAGCCTGGTGATATGTTTTTCGTCCAGCCTTAAGCTTTATCACCTCATCACCGGACAAAAATTTCTTATTTGTTTTTTTTGTCTGGCGTCTGTCTGTTTGTTGTTGGTCGTATTATTGGAACCTCGCACGCTCCATAGCAAATGTAAACAACCTGAAAAATTTATTTATAAAACACCAGCTATCAGCTAATAAAAAATGAAAACAAGTAATAAAAATTATATCAACTTTTTAATTTGTGCATTTTATATTTAAAATTTATAAAAATTGTAACCATCGTAGTGCCTGGTGCAAACAAAACTAACAAACACTCATTGCAGTTTTCATATAAGCATTTACTCATGTTTAACATGTCACAAATACTTCTATTTTATTTATTTATTTATTAAAAATCAGTTTTTTTTGCAGAGAAAAGTGTTTCAAAAATAAAAATTGGACAACTTTTTTACTTCCTTAATTGCGACCTTACTCCAATAGTGCAAACTAAAAATCCGAAACGGTATTCGGCATAACAAGTTGATATAATTGGTTTTTTGCCTTCTTTTTATGTCTTAAATGAATTAACTATTTAAAATCATTTGCATTTTTTTCATAAAAATTTATTGATTACAATTTTTTTATTAAATAGTGTTATATTGCTCGTACATCACCGTTCTGTTCTACAGTGGTTACAAGTGGTTACTGTTCTACAGTTTGTTCTTGGGGAAATTCTTTCTGTTTCTGTAAACTCGCTCGCTCAACGTTAAATAACTCGATATTGTTCATATACATAAAATAATGATAGATGACTTTAATCGGCGACTTACGTGTGTTCAGTATTAGTTAGTGTTCAAAACGTTATAAAGTTTAATAATCGAAATCGAACGAGAAACGACTCATCCATTGTTGTTTGTTAATAATAATTTTATTGTTTTAATTGTAATTGAATGTATTTTCTATAACAAAATAACAAAACTAAACAAAGAATTAAAATGCAAATAATAATAATGTGTAAAAGAGATAACTCTAACTCTTAGCTAAGATAACTCTTTACTTAACTCGTGTGCTCGCCTATTATATACCTGGAGACCTTGCTCCTCAGAGCTTAACTAGTTGTCTCACTCCTACTAACCAGTCGGTCCCTATTGTGTGTCACCTCATTCTTATTATACAAAATGTTATATGCTCTGATTAATTATATGCTATATTATCTTATATTAAGCTGCTTTACGTCTCTAAATTTGCTGTTTCGTCGTGAACTACTATTATAACTTGACTATCATTATAATTGCTTACTTACTTCAAAACATATCTTTATGCAACCTATATTTAATTATACCTCCTAACCTAAATTATCATCTACATAATAATATTTTGAGTAGTTTGACTGCATACGTCATACAAAAATCGTTAACAAACCGCATTTGTGAGTTGTAGTTTTGAAACAACCTGCATGCTTTTCGATTTCTTGAATTGTTTTAAACACTTTCATTTTAAACATTTTGAAATTCTATATTCTGTGAATCATTCGCGTATTTGAGCTTTCTAAAAAAAACACAATTGATGTGTTTGTTATAAGTTTGATTCCCTTGTCAGCAGGCAGATTTTGGAAGCAGTTTGCAGCGTAAGTGAACTCAACAGCATGAGGCGACATGATGTTATTTGTTGAGGCAGTGCTTCATCTGGTGGTTGTCGTTCCTTTGGGTGTGGTCGGTTGCCATCTTGCAACCCACCATCTCATCTGCCTGACATTTGTTTTGTAACGCTGATGAATCTTTGACGTGCCGTTTGTTCATCCAGTCAGTTTGTCTAATCAATTTGAGGTGTGTACAATTTTTATGTGTGAAGCTTCAAATAGCAAATTATTAAAAAATAATTCGCAAAAATAAAAATCATTCAGAATATTTTTCATTTAAATAGCAATACAACAGTTAACCTCATGTTAACGACAAAATTTCACTATTTTCCCTCTCCCGGATGCGAAACAACGCCAGTGTTTTCATTTCAATTTTTCAGCATCTTAATGTGAAGCATGCAATTGGTCATTGTTCATCGCCACTACAAATGATAAAAACCATTAAATTGATGACAGGTGTCCATGGTGCAGTGCCCGTCGCACAGAACATACCCCGATATTCATCATGCGAAATAACATCTGCACCGACAACAGCGAACAATTAACGATCATTGTGTTTAACTCGCATGTGACTAATAAACTTCTTCACAAGACTTTTGGTGTTTAAGTGGAACGAGATGAAATTTAATTTGCGGTTCTAATTTTATTCCAACCTGTTTTGTGCTGCTCCCAATGCATCCTGCCAAACTATCCGTTAGAAAAAATCGCACAAACAAATGAAAATTAATTTACATCTCGGTAGACATATTTTACTAACTTACATTTTTTTTTTGATTTTATTATTATATCAGACACGTTTTGGTAAAATGTATCGAAATGGAATTTATTGAAATTCAATAAAAAAGTTGATCAAGAAGAAAAATGTGAACATGTTCAATGAGCACATCATTAACATACAAATGTTTAATGAACAAATGTTTATAACGAATAAGCAGCTTCATAAACAACCTGGAGAAATGTCTTCGACCTACATGCAAATAAATATCGGCAGGCGGCATTTGGACAGTTGCTGGTTTGAAACGAGCGCGAGTAGAAAGTAATTTCACGTTTCCATCTGCATGTGTCAGGTCCAGCCAATAATAACGGTCATCGTTGCTACGAAGAAGATTAAAAAACTTAACATCACCGCTCAGAATATGAACTGCAGTTTTTTCATCTTTTGAAGATTTTTTGAATAATTTATTTTTGTAAGCACTGTCCTATCTAGAGTTTGAAATAATTCTAATTTTATTTTTAAAATAAAAATTAATATGCAAGGTGGTGTCAGCAGCGACCAGGTGGGATGCATGGAAATAAACACAGGACAATGAAATTGGAAGAATTTGTTTTAATTGCAAGATCGCTCTGAAAAAATTAAAAAGGTTGAATTTATCCATTTTAAAACGACGGAGCTTCGGTCGTTTGCCAGTTGCCACGCTGCATACAAACTTCTCTTCAAATGCCTGAATGTGTCTCAGCGGTTACATTTAAAAAATCAAGCTATTCATTGGTCAAAAACATTTGTTATTCATATTTTTCGACTTTTTTCAATTTTAAACATAACTTTTTTTATAAATGTTAGCTTCTGCAAGACAAACTTTTGAGTTTCATTTCTAAAGTTCATAATAACCGCAGCTGGTTTTGGGTTAAACAAACGAGATTATATGATGATGATGGTTGTGATGATGGTGATGATAATGATGATTTTCTTCTCCATGCAACACATCTCGTTGTTCCATTCAAATTTCAGAACATGGTGCGGTGCGTAGCATACATATTTGAAAATTATTAAAATAGTTGTCAAAGTGTTAAATGCCCAACAAATGTAGTTGGTGCTGATGCTTCTAAAATTTAAAAAATGCAGTTTAAAGCATAATGAAGACCTTAAAAAATGATGTGTTAATTTGGGCCGGCAGAAGTTGTTATTGCAATAATTTTCCATTAATTATGGATCGGGTGGGTGGGGTGAGTGGCAGAGAAGCACGCGCCAGCCTCGCAAATCAACTCGCTCCCATGCAACAGATGAATGTTCTTCTGTCTCTCTTATTAATGTAGCTAATAAATTGCAAGGCTTATAACCAGACACGTGATATTAATTGTGCCACTTGACCATTTTATGAATTATTAAATTAATTTCTACCACATCGCGAGCACTTGATAGGATTTATTCTGTGCATTAATTTTTCAATTTTAAAGTATTTACATTTAATTTTTCTGAATGGACCAAAGGAAAAATAATTTCAATTTGAATTAAAGAAAAATTGGTGTCTGCAAATTGCGTCAAAACTATTTAATATATTTACTTCAGCTTTATGGAATGAGCAGGCATGAAAACGTTAGATGACGTTATATAAATAATTTGATTTAAAGACGCTTCCAAAGTGCTCCGATGCAATTCCAAAGGTGCTAGCGCCAGGCTGTTTACAACCAATACATCATAATCTCCACGCTCAACAAATCACTGTGAACTCAAATCAGCTTCTAATTGAAGATACTTCACTTGAGTTATAAATAAATCTTTTAATATTAATTGTAATACGTAAATGTAATGAATGTGATCGTTTGAATCATTTCCTTACCCTCATTTTGTGTTCAGTCATTTTATTTAGCATTGAAGTTTGGTAAAAAAAAAGTAATGTCGAACACTCTATTACACTTTGTGGAACACGATACTAATTCAACAATGATGAATATGTTACAACCAGTTGGGAATGGTTGCATTGTACAACATTTTGAGTGTACAAGTTGCAAGTGACACGCGCACTGCACGAATTCGCTCCTTCATCTTCATTTCCTGATTGCATTTGGAATCTTTTAAAGTACATCCGCTATTAATAATTATATTATGTATGGTGCAAAACTGTCTTATTAATTAACTTATCAACCTAACAATTTTAAGAAATTTTAATTTTCAGTATTCTTAAGATTGTCCAAAATTATCATTCATTTTTTGCGAATATATCAAATAACATTGGTCAATTTGGACTTTGCGGATTGCGAAATATTAAGAAACATTTGTATCCACTGGTTTTTAGCACCAGTTGTTTTGTTAAGAGCAAATTTTCAAAAATGGAATTAATATGTAATTTGGTTCGTTCAATCGGACAAAATTCCAAGCAAAAACCATTTAATCGGTACTCGTATAGCAAACCTGACAGAATAAATAATCTTGCGACATGAGGTTTGAGACTTTCTCTCAGTCTGTCTGTCTGTTTAGCTTATATTAACTGCTTCAAAGCCTGTTTAGGCCACAATTTCATTTCCAAATAAACATCATTTCAAAAAATAAAAATTATATAAAGATGTATAACATAAAATATTTAAAAATAAAAATTAGACGAGGAGCACCACTAGGTAAGATGGCAAGTCCTGGTCTTTTGTTATATCACGGCTGCGTCGTATTTTATTCAGTAAAGTTTTATGAATACCGTATCGATCTTACAACTGGTAAATGGACAAAAACGTTACCTTTAAATTTTTGTAATATAAAACATCAAATTTAATAAAAACTAATCTAAAGTATTATTTGTACAGATGAAAATTGGTCAGGCGTGTTTGCTTTCAACTTTGAAATCTCATTCCTTTGCTGGCCGTTTTGGTTCTGTTTGCTTCAGCCATTAGGGCAGCGTGATGGCCTAGTCGTTAAGGTTGCCTGGTGCAGTTTTGTAGTGCGTACAGTGGCCGGGTTCGAATGCAACGAAAGGATGCCCACCTATCGCATGCATCGTGTGTGATGCGTCGTTTAGCACAGATGCATAAACGCTGATTGCGTATTGTTGATTCCTCTGAGCCTTGGAAGAGTGCAAGTAGCCTTTAACCTTTTTTTATCTGATTTGTATCCCAGTGTGACCTCACGCTCGAACACCTCTCACGACTGCTATTTGAATGCACGATAACGCATGGCATAAAACTTTTTGCAATAAATCTATTACAAATTTATTTCTAAATTATCATGGAAAATAGAACAAGCACACATATTGCCTCTAGCACGTTGTGAATAGCATCATCAAAGTGTTAAGTTGTCTCTACTCACCGGTTATTCCCATTTCTGGATTTGAATGAAACCCTGAGCAGAAACTTAACAGAAGGACCAAACACGGCTGAACGTTCCATAGGAGACTTGTTGGTCCGGTCTGTATTGATCTGATCTGTTTTGTTTCAAATTTCTTTATTGGGAAACCAACGCAAAACTATTTTTTAATATATTCCTGGCCATTCATAAGTTGAAATAAATTAAAATAAGTTTAATGAACAATGTTGACATGGCTACTGCATACTTAACCTTTAAAAAAATTTCCCTGCCCCACCAGAGTTAACGGATCATTTGCATATTGAGAGCGTTCATCTGCGTTTCTGTTTTCCTTCTTCATCACAGTTCTCATTGAAGTCAGATGGAATTTTTTAATTTTAATTGTCCATCGTGCAAAGTTATAAAAATCATTGATAGTTTTATTAATAATTAAGTTGATTCTATATTCCAATTTTAGGCTGGAGTAAAAATCGAGCTTTATAATCTATAATATTATTTTACAACATGTTAAAAAACTTAATCAAATAATAATTTGTTAACATCATTCTGATTGTCTGGAAATCATATTTGCTATCTTCATATAATTGATATCTTCATCCATCTTTTTTTATTTTTTACAGTTCTGCAGCTTCCGGAGTGTGCTCTGGTGCATCTTCTTCATATTTTACCGATTTAACTGTTTTGATCTGACTAATTGATTAGATTAGATTTTGAAAATTTTGATAATTTTTTAATTCGTTCATTTCAACTCGTCATATTTCATTTATAGAAGTAATTTCTCAAGTTCATCATCGTCGAACGAGAAACTCCAAACAAGTCACATTGAAGCTCCTACGAAGAATCAAAAGAGCCACTGAACTGAGCAATGTGTAGTGCAGTGGTGAATCTAAACAACTTCCACGTTGCGGGACCAAGATTTTCAAAGAAATTAACTTGACGACCGGAGGTTTCTTATGACAGCTGATGACCGGTGGGGCCAACATTTTTACGTAGAGCCAGCTTTCCTGCTAATGTGGTAAGAATTTTTTGAGCATATAATGTCAATTTTTCTTCAAAAATGCTACTTTTTTCCTCAAAACAACGACTTTTTCTAACTTTTAACACAAATAACGCTTACAACGGAGGGCACTGACGCGTGTGTGTGTGGGGGGGAGGTGTTAGAAAGTAAATTATTTATGCAAAATCAGTAGTAAAACTAAAAATAATAAGAGGTCGAGAATGGGAAAGATAGAATCTTGACGAGGTTTGCGGTCGTGTCAGCTGATAACAGAAGAAAGAAATGTCATTATTCAAACTGAATTAAAAATGTTCTATTTTATAAAAAAAATAACTCACAAACTAATACAAAAAACTAATTCACAAATTAATTAGGTAAATCAACAAATTAATTAAAACAATAAATTAATTAAATCAACAGATTATTTAAATCAATAAGCTAATTGAAACAATAAATTAATTAAATCAACAGATTAGTGCAATATATCTGAAAATATATATGTGATGTGTGTATATATATATATATATATATATATATATATATATATATATATATATATATATATCTGAAAAAAAGTTTTTTCTTGTACCAAAAAAATTAATGATTTAAAAAAATTTTAAAATAAACCGCCAGAATGTACGAACAGTTTAACAATTCAAAATCGAATCTCATTATAGGTCTACGTGTTTGTGTGCAAGCGTGTGTGCTTGTGTGCGTGTGCATGCGAGCATGTGTTCGTTTTTAATGAGAGGAGGATATGATGAGAATGTGAAATTTATATAGTGTCACATGCTCGGATTCTTCAGATCTCTTCAAGCGTACCATCCTTTCAGAAGCAGTTATCAACGTCGCGACCAAGAAACAAATTAAATATATTAAATAGTAAGGACGGCGAAACCAGAATGTAAACAAATCTGATGAGGGCTCTAAAAACTGCAAATAATTTAAAACTTTGCTGAATTCCCACTTAGTTTTCGAACGTTTTCCAGTAACATGATAATGTTATGAAACTATTTAATGTGCGTTATATTTACCATGCAAGCCGTTAAAATTTTGAACACGTGCACTCCATAGTGCATTATCATACCGTGTTCTACATCACTACACCTGACATCACCCTGTGCGTTATATTTACCATGCAAGCCGTTAAAATTTTGAACACGTGCACTCCATAGTGCATTATCATACCGTGTTCTACATCACTACACCTGACATCACCTTAAAAGGATAATTTTAAACTATCACTTATCAATCACTTATCCATAAAGTGTTTCCCGGTCGGATATTTCTTCTGACTGTTATTAGTATCGTTTGTCGTAGAAAAATTAATTTCGTTCTATTGGGAGTTTTGTAAATGTAAAATTCTGAGGAAATCAATAGATGTCACCCAAATTTTGCGTCTTAGTAATGCATACAACTCTATAAAAAATAGCAACTTGAAACTTCAGACATCCTAAAATGAAAAAAGATGCTCGTGTTCATCCCGAGATCAAATTCGTGTTGATTCACAATCATTCGGTTATTAGGAGTTTTTGGAGTCGTGATGAGTTTTGTTGATTTCTTTTATTGCGTCGATTACTTATTTAAGCGTTATTACAGCTAAAGTTGATCGTTCGATTCCAGTCGAGATGTATTTGTGTTTAGTTGTTTAAAGTATAGTTTGGAGTAACGTTAAAATTGTTCAGTTGTTCCTTTAGCTCTAATTCTATACCATCTGCTTCAACATCTAAAAATAGGTGGTCTGTTCTATCTAAACTTCTACATAAAAAATCCTCTCACTCATCTTTTTCTGCTCAACAGTTTCATGACTTTTTTGTAAATAAAATTACTTCTTTAAGAACATCTAATTCTAATTTTTCTTCTCATAACTTTACTAAACTTACTACTGAATCTTTTTCTGTATTTACTCCAATTAGAACTAACTAAAATTATTAATTCTATGTCGTCTACAACCTGTTCTCTAGATCTACTTCCTTCTAATTTACTTAAAGAATTTTCTTCAATATTTTATCCAATCATTCTCAAATTAGTTAATTTATCTCTTTCTACCTCTAAATTTCCTATTTCTTATAAGAATTCTATTGTTATTCCTATTCTTAAAAACTCATACTTAGATCCTACCTCTTTATCTAATTATAGACCTGTAACTAATATTACTTTCATCTCTAAAATAATAGAAAAAGTAGTTTTTAATCAACTGTCATCCTATTTAGACTTTAACTCCTTGCTACCTGTATCTCAATATGGTTTCAGACCTGCTCACAGTACTGAAACTTCTTTACTTAAAATACACACTGATATCCTTCTCTCTAGTGACAATAGTAATCTTACTCTTCTTCTTGCTCCTGACTTTTCCTCGGCTTTTGATACTGTTGACCATACTATTCTCTTGAGACTGCTGCATCTTTCTTTTAATATTACTGATTCTTGTCTATCTTGGTTTTCTTCTTATCTCTGTAATCGTTTTTCTTCTGTTGTCCTCAATAATTCTACTTCTAACTCCTCTACTCTTACTTTCGGGGTACCTCAGGGTTCTATCCTTGGCCCTCTTCTATTTATACTCTATACTTCTGAACTACCTTGTATTATTAATAACTTTTCTTTCTTTAGTCAACTATATGCTGATGATTCTTACATTTATACTTCTTTTCCTCCATTTAATCTCAATAGTGTTCTTCATAATTTATCTCTATGTCTTTCTTCAATTATCGCTTGGTCTGACACTATGTGTCTTAAACTTAATCCTTCTAAGTTTAAATTAATTTGTTTTAATAAATCTAAACACTCTATTACTATTCCTCCTATTATCGTACCTGATTCTAAAACTCTTGATGTCTCTCATAAGTTTCGCAGTCTAGGTTTTATCTTTGATTCTACTATGTCTCTCTCTTCTCAGATTAATAGTGTTGCTAGAAGCTCTTACTTTCATCTACGTAGAATAAAAAAACTTTTGCCTTGATGATCCTACTCTTCTCCTTCTTGTTACTTCGTTAGTCTTATCTAGGATTGATTATTGTAACTCGCTCTACTATGGTCTTCCTGACTCTATACTCTATCCTTTAAGTAAAGCTTTTAACTCTGCTGCTCGTCTAGTTACTCGTGCTCCTTTTTTTTCTCATATATCTCCATATCTTGTTCTCTTGCACTGGCTACCTATAAAATATAGAATAATTTTTAAAATTTGCACGTTCATGTATAAGTCTCAATCTAAATTATTTCCTAAGTATTTATAAGATATATTAATTGAACCTAAACGCTCCGGTTTACGATCGTCTTCTTCTTCTCGCTTTTTCTTAACTCGTGTTAAACACTCTTTTGCCAAATCTGCTTTTGCTTTTTCTGGTCCTTTTCTCTGGAACTCTCTACCTACTTCTCTGACTACTTCTCCATCACTTGCGAAGTTCAGAGCGGATCTCAAGACCCATCTGTTTTCAAAATTCATTGAGGAGCGCTGTTGAACATCGCGGAAATAGCGCTTTATAAGCTAATTGATTGATTGATTGATTGGCGCTTCGATGGGGCTCAGTTGGAGTTTCTCGTTCGTCGGTGATTCACCTCTTCATTTAAAATAAAATGAGATAAAATAAAGTAAAAAAAATTATAAAATTTAAAAAATCAAATCTTATTTTATGGTTTTTTAGTTACTTTGATTGCTACAAAATCATAAAATGTACATGGGTAGTTATTGGCATTATAGTGATGACGATGTGAAGATTTTATTAGCGTCTGCTGCATAGCTACTTCAGAGGCACTTCATCGGTCTCTGCCTTCAATAAAACAGAAACCATTTCTAGAATTCGCTCCCAAAACTTTCAAAATTCTGATAAGATCCGCCGGAAAACCAGTTATTCAACAGATGAACAAGATACAATCTTCATTTTGAAGCGGCGCAACCATAGCAATCTGATCATTGACACTCTTTACATCATAAAACCTTTCATATAATATGTGAGCAGTTCACAGGGTAACATTTAAATTTTTAAGGTAAATTCATAGACGTTATTAAAGGCTACATAGAGGGCATTCAAACGCGCGTTCACATGCTTGCTGTAGTGAGTGCGTGCAACTCACTCACTACAGCACTTATCTGTACTTATCTGTCGAATTAAATAAAAAATCTCATCAAATCAGAAGAAAAAAGATTCTGCTTCACACATCAGATCCAGCTAATTTATTTATGCCATTGACAACAATTATAAAAATAAGAAAGGAAATCTATAACATTTACAATTGAAAATCATTTTTCTAATAAGAAGAGCACCGTAAGCGTAATGACGAACATTCTCATCAGCACATAACAATAAGTAAGAAGACATTTACATGCATTAACAGATGTGATTTTTAAAAAATAAATTCAACGAAATGGTCGCATCCTCTTCCTCATCTGCTTTGACATCATCATCACCATCACCACCATCATCACCAACATCGCTGCCATCGTCATCAACGTCATATCTCCTGATTCATTTTCACTTTCCCTTCATTTCCTGCTTGCTGAGAGCAATGGCCAGCTTCAGGTCCTCTTCTTCTTGCAGTCTCAACCTTCAAACGTGGAGGAACATTCGATTGACATTGTTGTCGTTTTTATGATTTTACAAGCATAAGCATGAAACATTTCAGTGTACTCACCTCTTTAAACAGTAAGAATTTTGAAAACAAATTATTGTTTTTATTATTATTATTACTTCCATTATTATTGTTGTTGTTGTTGTTGCTGTTGTTATTAATAAGAAAAATTAATAGATGGATAAGTGAGAGAAGGAAGAAGAAGGAGCACCTTCGAAGTCTTTCGAACTCCTGCTCGCTGTCCCTTGTCGCCCAGGCCAGTTGCTCCGCCTCAGATCGAAACTGATGAAATGTAATAAAAGTGAAATCAGTTGGAAGGCATATGTTCAAAGAAGCTACGGTTAAATGTTGTTTTAATAAGTTTAAGCAACAATACCACTGAAAATAATAAAACAATTCAAGATAGCGTTAGTGGATGAACACAAGTATGTGCCAGTAACAAAGCAAATCATTCAGTCATGTGTAATCAGCTTTCGTAAAGATGACTTGATAAGGAAACAAATTTACGAAACAATAAGAAACATGCCTGAACTTTCATCTAACCTTCAAATTTTCTTTCTGCCCCGACCTAGTGTTGGACGACTTGTTGCTTGAAGGATCGTTTGGCCTGGGGGCCGGTGGGCGTGGTGGGGCAGGCGACTTCTTCAACTTCGGAGGGAGGGCGGGAAGTTGTGGAGAATCTGTGAATGTCGTCGCCATGTTGGTTGATGGTTTGGGTGGAGGGTTGAATGAACCCGTACCAAATGGATCCGAGGTCTGATCATTCCATGTTTCAAAATATGTAGCTTCAATTAATTATGGCGCCAAACATAAAGATCTCATTGGTTAATAACGACATGCAACAAACGAGTTCTGGTTTTAATTTTCAATTGCTCCAGTTTAATAAAAATTCAACAATCTTTACATTTACGAAAATCAACAATCTCTCCGTTGAAACCAACCAAACAAATAAAGACATATTAACAACATGACGCATTTATTTTACAATAAAAAAAACTCAAGGATGCATCTTCAGTACATGTCTACAAAATCATCATTTAACATCATTTGGCAAGAGTGCCATAGAACAAAAAATGATAAACATCATAACAAAGAACTAACATCATGTTGGAAAGCGTGAGTCAACTCTGCATTGCAACCGAATGGGTCCAACTGAGCTGATTAGTTGAATGACAAAACTTCAGATAAATAATGTTAATAAACAGAAAGATGGCGCCGAAAAACAAAACAAATTACTTGAATAAATAAACAATTAAATAAAAGATAATTATATACTTGTGTATAAATTGAAATTCATATACTCACATATATGTATGTTGAAACCAAAACATGACGAATGACACCGAACAGTCAAACATCAAGTAACAAATGGATGAAAACTTTGATATGTCGTTAGTTGCACTCGTCGGCATTCTTGCATTATAAGTATATCGAATTGCGCTTGTTTAACCAAAGTATTGAATGTCTACTGTTTCAGTTGCCCAAATTACCAGCACGGCTAGAAGATTCAACACTTTATTAACAAAGCTGCTCATATACTTAATTTCTTGTTGCTCGTTCTTCATGAGGCAACACTCGGACGTGCCACGATAGCTCACATGTCACTTTCTATCTAATCCATCCAATTATAAATCTCGTTCGACGACGATAACTTAAAACTTATCTCAAAATGAAAAAATTAAAAATATCAAACCAATCATTCAAATGAAAGCAGTTATATCTGCTAAATCCGAACGAACGAGGCACGTTACAGCGCCATTTTGAGAGCAACAGAGCCACAAAAAATTATAAACTTTGCGTACCAAAAGCTGTAAACAAACATCCACACCACACGACAATCATACAAATACGATCATACGCAAGCACCGCATCACATGCACACGGCCAGTGGCAAATCTAGGGGCCGGGGAAAACTGCTCTCTGTTGTGAGCAGTTTTTTGATAAAAGTCCGAAAAAGGACCGTTTTATGTTTTATGTATAAAATCATCCAAAAAAGGTCATCAGTCACACTACAACAAATCTTGCCCTCCCCCCATAAAAATTTTGCCACCCCCCCGTCAAAATTGAAACATTTTCAAAATTTTGGCTCCTTTGTCAAAGTTGTCTAGATCCACCGCAGCAGTTTTTTAATTTCGGACCTACAGCATTCGAACCAGGCCATCGCGTAATAACGCAAAACATGGCACTTCTACCAACTGAGCTAACTCGCCGACTCTTCCGCAAGTCTGTCTACAGAAAATTAATGTTATACTTCAAATGCCGATAAAATATAGGATGACGGTTGACAGCAACTCATGCTTTCATTCCGTACATCACTCTCAATCACCCAACAACCACAACAACAACAACCATCAGTGTTGAAAACTTTCAACAAATGAAAACAAAAAATGTTGGCGATTCCACGTTTAAAAATCAAACGAACTCACAGATGTTATGGATTGCATGTTTGTTGTTGCTCGTGGAGTCCCATGGATCCGATGCAGCTGGAACCTGCATTTCAATCATTTCATTTTCAAGTTTTTCGTTTTTGAAAATTCATAAAACTAACAAAAAAGCCGAAAAATAAAGCAAAGAAATAAAATTGACAAAAATGTTATTCAATTTAATTAAGGTGCATCATCTGCACAGGCCCGGATAAACAAATTTGACCATCCGAGCTGCCAAAAAACGAACGCGAAACGAACAATTTGAACAGACGTTAGTTGACAACGAACCTGCGAAAAGGTTGCGTTGAAAGTTGAGGTGAGTTCGCCGGTCAGCTGCCTGTCGAAGCCCTCCTTGAATGGATCGTCTGCAAAGGGGTCCAACGTGGAAAGGGGGTTGGAGAAAGGGTCGGCTGTGGGGGAGGACAGTGAATGATTTCAAACATGTGCAAAAGTATCAAATTGTGAAAAATTGAAAATATATACTTTTGTGTTTTGATTTTCTTACCAAGGTTATTAAAAATACCTGTCTACAAAAATTTAAAACTTGTCAGAGTGAACCGAAAATTAAAAATTCAATAGAGAGAGATGTAGAAGCTGTCAAAAAAATTAAAAATTGTAAACTGCTGTCAAAAAAATTAGAAATTGTAAACTGCAAGTTTACAAAGAACGAAACAAAAATATATGCAGAAACCAAATCTTACAATGATATTACGGAATCGAAACCGATACGACTCTAAACCGAAAATTAATAAACTCCAAATTCTGGTTTGATGAGTATTGAAATGAACGATAAATAAGATAAATATTAACGAAACCACAATTGATATTTCTAACAGGATGCAAAGGGGTCTTCTTCGATTGGCTGGTTGTTGAACAGTAACGTTATCATGCTTGGTTGGTCACTGGCAATTGGAAACTTCCACACGTCATTCTGAACAAAAATGAACATCAAGGTATAAATTAATGAACTGTCAAATGAGCATTCAGACATCATCTGGTTTAGTTTCCAGAGTATGGCAAATAATAGGATATTATTCAAATTGTTTTCAATTTCATTCCACTGAATATTTTGCCAACAATTTCATCCAAGAAAACAATCAGGAAAAAAATAACAAACTTGCGAAAATATGTTCGAACTTAGAAAATTTTTAAAATAAGTACCAAACAATCGAAATACTTCTGTCATTCAGTTATTAACATGCCTTAAAACAGTTCAAACTCCAAAATGTCCTCATTTACCTCCATCAAAACGCAATCTTCGCATCATTATTTTTGATAACTTTGCCAACTTTGATTTCTCACCAAACTCACCAAAGAACCAACTAGTCCATAGCTCAATTCCACTCAGTTACGATGACATTTGCACTTGTTCTCTTCAGTTCCCTTACTCGTGCCGCAAATTTGTATATTCCAACATTTAAAGTCATGAGAACAACATGGAAATCTGTGATGTAAACCTAACCCATCAAAGCTAGAATCAATAGGTCGTTATGTCGAACATTCTCTGAGCAACTGGGTTACCAAAGAATATCCCATCGACGTTTATAATAATTTACTCATCAAAATATCAACCATCTATGTTGGGCCATTTATTTTTACCACATTTTTAAATGGTCGATGAAACTTCTTCTGGCTGCTTGCTTGATGCTTCACACAGTTCCATGGTTCCGTGACAAAATAATGTATGAAAGAATTTTGTTTTGAAACACTTCCTAATTGAAAGCACAATATTTGAATGACGGAAAAATAAGAGCTGAACTTCTAATTCATATAATTTTCCACATTGCCAAATTTTAAATTACCTGTTTAAAAATGGAAGGACTAACCGCATCAAAGATTGAAGAATCCCTCATGTTAATCTCATGGTTTGCCGTGCGAGAATCCTCCACCTTACTCTTGGACTGTCAACAAAATTTTATAAAAGATGATTGTATTTAATTTTCAATCAAAACCATTTGAAATATATAACAAAATGCCTTGACTTTATTAAACCCATTCAAGCAGCAGACAGATAGAAAGCTTTCATGACCTTGCTGACGAGATCCTCTAGTTGCAATAAAGTCTCGTTCAGCTTCTTCTCCTTGTTGATGGCCATCTGGTACTTCTTCTCCAGGTCTCTCTCCTCACTCGACAGGTCTTCAATCTCTTTCCTCATCTGCCTCATCTCCTCTTCGTAAGTCTGACGTGTTTTCAATGAAATTCAAGTCTGAGTCATATTTTTATGAACAATTCAAATGGCTGCCGAGGTTTGCGGTAAAAATAATTCAAATTCAAATTAATTTCTTCAATATTTTTAGAGTAAATAATAATTATCGCCAAGTTTTTAAAAATAACGTCAGATGTTTATGCAATCATTTCAACACGAACAACGTTAAGTAAAAGTAACTGGCGTAGAAGTTGGTACTGGCACACGACCTTCACCGAATGATTCAAGCATCAAAACAGCAACGAAGGACAATGAGCTGAAGAGATGAAAGAAAATGTACCTGCGGTTTTTTGTTGTTGATGATGTTTCTCAGTTCCTGAATCTTCAGTTGGTCACCGTCGTACTTTTCTTTGCAGTCAGCCACTGACGTCTGCAGTTTGCGCTTCTGAAAGAACAATATTTATATCACATCCTTCAAATTTCAATGCTTGTATTATATTTTCAAAAAAAAATTTAAGAATGATCCAAGACATGAGATTATCTATTAAAGAATTGTTATATAGAATAATGGTAAGGTGAAATGATGGTAAGATAGGCGCACTTAAGAAAACAGTTTGCCACTTATGCTTCACGATAACAAACCAGCTAAGAAATGAAACAGAACCAACCTTCTCTTCCAACTCATCCAACTTCTTTTGTGCTTCAGCTTTCTGACACTCGAGTTGCTGCATGGTAAAGAGCAAGCCATCCAAATCCTTCTGCATGTTCGACATCTCCCCCTCGTACACCCTCATGTCGGCCTCCCTCTGCAACTTCTCCTGCTCCAACACCATCTTCTCTCTGATGTCCATTTCAGTGGTCGTGGTATTGCATGTGTGTGTGTTTCATGTGTGTGTGTGTGTGTTCATGTGGTGGTGTCGCATGTGATGAGAACTATTGTAAAAGTGAATAAAAGTGAATTGTAATAATAATAAATCGTAATATATTGATAATGTTTGTTGAGTAGATCTACAATGGCATAGTTCATGGTCAAGATGGCCATGTTGATTTGACTCCAAGTATGAAATGAACAGAACTGCAGGCGTTTGGCAACAGAGTAAGAAGGAATTAAATTGTTTGAGCAATTAATAAATTTTTTTAAAAAGCAACAAAATTGATTGAAATTCAACAGTTAATAAATTGTTAAAAGTGACCAACAAACAGTGTTAAAAAACGAAAAGTCGGGGATCAAGGTGTGAACAACTTGCTCAAAAATGTGGAACATTTGAGGCTGAAGATAAAAAAATAGAAATGAGTAAAACTGTCAGGACACTGCGTCGAAGTTAGCTCCCAGCTACTCAAAATGAAATGGTGAATTAAATAAAATCTTCAATGAAACTTTGAAATCTTGAGCCACAAGAACTTAGACGATCTTCGAAAAAGGATTCCATAATTTGATGATCGACCTTAACATCAGTTAACATTATTCTAAATTGTTCTTGGTAAAATTGAAACCAACTTTTTAAGTTCTTCAATTTCACTGCTGAGAGCTTCTAGTTCTTTCATCGTTGACTGGTCCATGTGTAGTGACATGTTCATTGTTGGCAGCTGCGAGTTCGTTTAAAATTCAGCTTAATACAAAATATAAAATAGCTGATGGCGCGTTAAAAATAAAGTGCTAGAATATAAACGTTGAAAATCCTGTCGTTAGAAGTGCAGCTGGATTCACTCTATTTACTAATAATGAACAAAAATGAAATTGTGAAACTTAATTTTAAAAAGGCATCAGACGACATTTACATGAAACAATTCCATCTAAATCAATTTTAAATCTATTCTTCTTGATAGAGTTTACAAGCCTTTGAATAATGACATTGTTCTAACCTAAATAACAATAAATTGTATCGTTCACAGACCGTTGGAGGCAGTTGTATGGACAGTGGCAGCATGTCCTGCGTGATCAGGGTGGGTAGCTCGGCACCTTTCAACTTCTGCTGCACCAGGTACATCGAGAGGGCAAACTGATCTTTCGTCAGCTTCCCTGCCGCCGTTGTATCGCAAAGATTCCTTCAGTCATGCATTTCATAATGTCACCGATAATAACAAGGAAAACAAGGAAAGGAAAGAAAAACAAAAAACTTCAAAACGTCATTGCCCTAGAATAGCAAACACATACAAACAAAAATCCATGTTAAACTTTATAAAATTTACTGCTGTACGGTATTTGGTTTAAAAATTGTTGAAATTCAGGCCAAAATACACCTACCCTGAATAATTTAGCTGGCTAGGTGCATCTGAAGTGGGCAACAAATGTAAATTAGAACATCGCATGACAGAAAGGTAAGCATGTAAAAAGAAAGGAGAAATAAGAGCCCCAACTCAGTTGCTAACCAAATGTGAGCTAGCACCAACTGAGGCAGGCCGGTCTGCAGGAAGACATCTTTGACGTCTGCCCCATTTAGGAATCCATCTTTGTCCAGGTCATATTTTGCGAACAGTTCGTCGTAGTTAGCTCGTTCCAACGGACTTATCACGATTTTTGAAGCCTGCTTAAATTCAATGGGCAGACAATTAAGAAGAAAATAACTAATGTCAAATATAACTTACAACATATAATTAATTCTGCTTTATTTAAATAATGGCTCAGTCATTTAAAAAATTTAAATGGAAAACATGGCATGATCATTTGAAGAAGCAAATAAATGGAATCAAGTAAGAGAAATTTTTTTTGTATCATTTAAAACAAACAAGTTTGCACAAATAAAATGAAAATATAACAAAAGAAATAGCTTTGAAATGTGAATAACAAGCTAAAGAGATAAACAAAAAACTTTCGGACTGACAGGGTGTACAGCAGGAAGAACGTTCCCCGGCATGCCAGGTGCAAATGCGGCAACGTTGGGCAGCAATGGAGTGGTCAGCAGAGGCGCCAGTCCAGGAATCGGGAGATGTCGCTTAGACGGAGGCACCATCTCTGCGGGCAGTTGGTCAGGCACTGGCACCTTCTCCAGCGCTTGATAAACTAAATGCATCGCCTGATTAATACATTTCAATACATTACATTAGTGCAATGCAAATACAGATTCATAATTTCTTAATTACTCTTAATTATTGTGCAACTTAAACATTCTGAACTATGAATGACAAAAGTACTAATCATTTTAAAAATGAATTGACTAATGAAAGATGGGTGATGAATGTATATGTGAATGCAACAAATCATATCAAAGAAAACTTGTAGAGATAAAATGAATTAAACTCTGCAATGAAAATATTAACATCAAAAATATCAGTAAAATCGATATACTGACAACAGTGAATTCATCTCTATCAAGAAATCCATCCTTGTCAATATCACTAAGTTCCCAGACTCTGCCCAGAACATCAACAGGCAAGTTGGAGTTCAATAAAATCTGATTTGGTTTGAAGGATAGTGTTGTGTTATGGTCTACAAATATTAACTAATATTTTAAAATTAAAATTCAGCTATAGTGTGTGTGTGTGTGTGTGTGTGTGTGTGTGTATGTGTGTGTTATATAAAATACAAGCGAAAAAAGTACAAACATGTTTGAAAGTGCAAGGGGTAATAAGATATATGGGGTAATATGTAGGCAGACCACATAAAATAGCAAAAATGAGACTAGTTAATGACATCCACAAGTGTTACTACTACAGTAACAAATGAAAAATGAAACCATAGTTTAGAATAAAAGTTCATCTGTGAAAAATTTTAAAAAATTTGCAGTATAAAAAAAACTATAACAATATGAGAAAAGGTAATCAAATAAAAAATGCCTCACAGGTTTCACTTTATCTCCATTCAGCAAGCCGTTGGACGGCATCAATCCATCAAAAATCTGGTCATATTTCAACTTCTCTTGAGGCTAGTAAAGTAAAAACATTTAATGGTTTGAGTCGACCAAACTGCGTTGCAGAAACATTTGACTCAGGCTGCTACTTCAATAAATGTGGCCTCATTGTTGTCAACATTCATATGATTCATAACATGGCACACATACTGTCCAAGATAATTTGCTAACGAAAAAATATTTATGACATAAAATGGGAAAAAACAAAATGCTTTCAATTATATTTCACCTATAATCCATTCAAATAAAGTAATACCTGCTTCCTTAAATAGCATATGAAAAACAGTTCTACAAAATGTGAAAGACAATTTTAAATTGCCAAAATATGCTTTCAGCACACCAACGCAATGGAATGATACTTAATTATAATATGAGGTTGTCAGTTTCAGTTAATTCAAATTTGAATCTCTAAAAAATGGACCAAATTGCAAACATTGAGAAGAAAATTAGAGGGTGATTCATTATAAACAGTTCAAACCATCAATCATCAACATGATGAAAAAACAGCTCATATAAATATGTAGTGAAAATTTATGCAATTATCATAGTTTATCCATTCAATCTTTAAATTAATTCCATAGCAAAAGAGCATTTAAAAAAAATTATGTATGCAGTATTTATTCTGCTTTATGATTCTTCTTTGATTTTCAAACTGATAACATTTTAAAGATTTTTTTTCTTGCTCCTCTCTTTCTTTACACACACACACACACACACACACACACACACACACACACACACACACACACACACACACACACACACACACACACACACGCACACACACACACTCATATATATATATATATATATATATATATATATATATATATATATATATATATATATAACATATCAATTTGAACACCAAAGATGGTATAGGAAAACCAAAGCTTTTCTGTTCCATCATGCATAAAAAAAAAACAAAAATTTTTGTTTTGAACTGAAGAAACTTGAAAATGATTTACGATCAACCGTTAGAAAAATCGAAAAGTTAAATTGGAAGCTAACTAACGTTGAACATGCTGTGATTTTCATCATCAATATCCGATTTATATATAAGATCATGCTGACCATCATAAAAGAACGACTGGAAAAGGTCATAGAGCAACATCTGCATGAAGAACAAGCAGGCTTCAGAAAGGACAGAAGCACAATCCAACAAATTCTAATGTTGAGACTGCTGATGGAAGATGCAAAATGTAGCGGTCAATTTACCATTGCTTTGTTGATTTTAAGAAAGCGTTTGATTCTGTTTGGCATGAAGGTTTGTGAGCAACATTAGAAAAGCTGGTCAAAGTACTGAAAGGACTTTATGAAGAATCAAAAATGTCGGTAATAATAGGTACAAAACTTGGGGATTGGATAAAGGCAAACATTGGAAGCATTTGAGATGAAGTGTTACCAAAATTTGTTGGGAATCAGTTGGAGGCAGAAAGTAAAGAATGAAACCATCAGAAATCAACTCGGAAGACAGAAAAGTGTATATGACAAAGTCAGAGAAAGAAAATTGGGATTTTTTTGACACATTTGTAGAATGAGAAAAGACAGATTGATTAAGATGGTACTAATAAGGAAAAGAGATTGGAAGAAAAAAATTGGTAGACCTGCAAGAAATGGATAGATGACATTACTGAATGGACTGGTGTTGGCATTCTGAATTCAATAAACTGGCCAAAGATAGAAAAGGTTTTTGGAAAGAAAAAAGGAAAAAATAAAAATAAAAAGCATGCTTAGATGTACACCATTGCCTCGTTGGTCCCTCGATGGACAAAGGAGGATCATTGAATGATTGATTTTTATATATATATATATATATATATATATATATATACATATATATATATATATATATATATATATATATATATATATGCAGTAATTTATTAAATCAACCAAATTTCTAGCATTGGATTATATTTCTCAATATTTTAAACAAAATTCTAGACATCATTAATAACAATAAAAATTTGGTTAGAATAAAGTAAAATAACTTATATAACAACATAAACACAAAAATTAACATTGATAAAGGAAATTTGAATTCCTAAAAAAAGCTTTTCTATTTTAAACATGCACACTAATTTTGTGTATGAGTTAAATAAACTTAATAATCAACTGAAATTCATCGTAAGAAAGAGAAAGATTGAAAAATTAAATAGAAAATTAAGCAACGCTGAAAATGCTGTGACTTTCTTAAACAACTTATATATATATATATATATTTATTTATATATATCATGAACTTCAATTAGAAAGTAAGACAATTATTAATTTGTTCTCTCAGTCAAATGACCTCAAAAAGCAACTGTTCAACATCAAATCTCACAAATACAAAATGTGGAAATATTCAAGTATCATAATAAATAATACTAATACTGGTAATGTGTATATTAGTGTGTATGTTTGTGATTGCATAAAAGTTTGGTATAGAATTCTATCAGCTAGCTTGTCTATGGTCATAGTGATATTTATATTATATTATAATTATAAAGAAATAATTTATTTTATTTTCATGACATAAATCATGGCCTTATTTATATTTTTATAATAAAGCCTTTATTAGGAAAACAGAGGCCAAATTTAACATGATTACAAAACAAAGTTACAATAGAAAATGATTACCATTAATGTTAATAATTACAATCAGAAAGTATTTATTAAAAATTATGTTACCCAAATAATTAATAAATCAAAAATCAAATGAATAAAAATTAAGTTATAATAATTAAAAATTATAATATTATAATTATCATTGATTATATATAATTATAATATGTATTGTTTTCACTTCAGCTGTCTTATTCTTATATCTTTTTCAAATTTAATATTTGCATTGTGCTTTTATTATTTATTAATTTTGTTTTATTTATATATAAAAAAAAGTACTAAATTAAATTTTAAAATAAAATATTAAAAAAAGTCATATCTGGCCAAAACACCAACTTTGTAATAATTAATGATCAATATTAAATCTATAAGAGTATAAATAAGGAAATGTTATGAACGATAAACCGATGAGCTTACCGGTATGGACCAGGCCATTTCAGGCGAACAAATTAAATTTTTACTTTTTTCGGAAAGTACGATTTTATTATATTTTAATTTATAATTACAATAAAAAAACGCAAATGTAAACAAACATCAAACCCCACCTACTTCTCTAAAAGTGAACCTGCAATAGAAACTGCCGAACAAGTGAACTGAACTGGTGCATAAATACTTACACAGAAATTCTTCTGTCTCGTTTTTCCATTTTTTTAGAATTATTACATATAAAGTATCATAAACGTTTGACGATATGTTGTCCTGTATAATCCGAGATCTTGACTCGTGCATTTGAGATTACCTATCGCAGTCTCGTGAAACCTTTCGGTACCAAACAAGTCTGAAGCTCAACTTTTTCAATAATATAATTGTCTTTACTAGCCAATAGTTGAGCTTAGACCTCAAGTCTATTCTAATATATTCTCCGCACAGAAGAAAAATCCTACCATAACTTGAACAACCATGGTTTAATATATTTATGGCCAACTCATCGCTCACTGCAGTCCATTCACAAGACAATCAATCAATCCTCGTTAAGCTATGCTTCATACATACACACACACACGTTACGCACGCACACAAATATGTACATGACATTATATATCTATATATATATATATATATATATATATATATATATATATATATATATATATATATATATATACATGGCGAGACTTTCATCACTTCTTTCCCCACTATGCAGCATTATTTAACCTTTGATTATACAATAAAGTCATCCTTTTTCAAACTAAGACTCTTCTCCCAACATCAGAACAGCCAATTCAAATCTTTCAACTAGCTAGAAATGTGAAAAGCTGTCATTGGCCGTTTTCCAAGTCATGTTAATTCTCGTTAAAAGAACTAGTTGTCACCGCTTTTTATTACTATAAACAAATTTAGAGCTCATACTTAGGTCAAATTTTTTAGAATAAAACCAAATTTCATAGATTACCTTCCAAACTACATAATATATTAAAGTAATTATATAGAAATATTATTCAAAGTGTTACATTCAAACAGTTAACTGGTGGTGTTTGTTAAATAATATGTATAACGTATAATAACGTAGAACGTACAATAATGATAAATAATCATAATAATAAAGTTAAATTGAAATTTATGTGGTTCTAGCTCTGATGGCAGCCCTTTTGCCAGTAACAGCCTGAAAGCCTGATTTGATGCTGGCTACAGAGCACCTTGACCCACATGTTTCACACTGCAAGAAGAACAAACGAGTCTCTTTCTGTAGCATGGTTTCTGGAGATTTGCAGGTGTGGCATGTCACATACTCCTCTACAATAAAATACATTAATTCAAAATTTAGAACACATCTCAAAGAAGACAAATTAAATTTGATTGAACGGAAATAAGGTTAATTATAATTTATACTGCAAAATGCAACTGTCAAGAAACTAGCAGTGTACTGACTGATGTAACGACGAAGAACACTTTCAATTTGTTTCTGTTGGAATCTCCCTTTGATGATAAGTTGTGATTGAGCATCCAGTGAACCACTGTTGAAGCGGTTTTAAAATATCAAATGTAGTCATCAGCATATTTCAACGTGTGTGATCAACAAAAACTCTGTCATCATTATTAGAGAAAGTTGCATCTCTAAGAAAACATTTTGAGAAACTTTATGAAAAAGTTATCAGTCTTATTAAAATCGCAAATAAATGTCATCAACCATTAAATCTACAACGTCTTTTACATTTTTATAATTAATAACATTGGCACTTCACACCACAAATAAATGATAACTGGAACAATAACCAACACACCATTAAGATATTAGGTTTAATAATTTCAAAAGTAGTTGAAAATATGATTTAATGAAATTAAGTTGGACCTTAAAACAATGAATGAACTTGATGGTTCTAGAAAAAAATGTAATGTGTAAAAAAATTTTTTTAAGACTTTGCTTAGGAAAATAATTCTAAATTGATTGAAAAGTTTCATATTCTTTATTAATTTAATTTAATTTTGATTATTTTAACAAAAAAAATAATAATAGTTGCGAAGAGGAGATAACATAATGATACACGGTACTTACATTATTTGTGTACTGTATGAATACAGTGTATAAAACAGTAATGCAAAAACGTAACTTGCAGCTTTCTATGCTCAACTTTTTACCTTTTCTAAATTGAAAGAACTTCCCATTTGAAGATTTCAGTGGAAATGAAAAAAGATTTTTATAAAATTCTAATACTAAAACTGAGCTTAATTTTTTATTCCATGCAACGAGGAACCAAAATTCTATAGGAAATTCTATAGAGAGGAATTTGCAGAATTACTAAAATATGTAATAGACAGAGTATCATTAAATGTGATTCTAGAAAATTAAGGTAGTAAAAAATGCAAATTATATGTATATAGTGTTTGTTCAAAATTTTGTTCGTTAAAGAAAAAAAAAAGTTTTACTTAAAAAATGTCTTATAGATTTTTGTTGCATAGAAGTTCGTCATAAAGACTGGAAACAAAAAATAACTAGTTTGTTTAGATAGAAGACTCATCAAACACATTGATGATACTTACCTGGTTCCCAGCTCTGCTGATAAAAACGCCTGTAAATGTTTTGTGGATCTGTGGAGCCTTAAGACAAGAAACACATCGTATTAAAAATAAAGTTAATACATCTATAACGTATAGATTAATACATCAATTATGTATAAATAGCAAATTAGTAAGAAACATATTTTATAATGAGAAATTGTTAGAATGATAATTTTATTCAGAAATATTTTAAAAGTGCTGTACATTTTTAAGTACCCATATCAGGATTGAAATTTAAAGCTCTTGAATCAGATACAAAAAATAAATATTTGAAGGTGCGAAAAGTATAATTGAATGCAGATTTTAAAAACATTGACGATTGTATCAATGAACATTAAAATTAAAGTTAATATGAAATAACATCACATTAACGGCATTTACGTTCCTAATAAATTTAATCGTTTTTTTTATAAAAAGCAGTGAAGAATAAAAATCTAACAGTCTACAAATCTCAGCGAAGTTACAGAATGATGTTTTTTTGGTGCCGACCCTCATGACCTGGGGTGGCTTCATCACAAACTTCTTTTTTTCCCCTGCCACCATGTCCGGGTTCTTCTCGCGCATAATTTCAAACACCCTGGCCAGTAACTTAGAAAGTAATTTTAATTTTAATGTGGCTATAATAAAACCAGGCTTCAAAAAATTTATTGCCAATTACTAAAAATTTAATTGATTTTGTTTCAACAACGTTAAAAACGTTACTTTCTAAAAACCTTTTGATAGAATGTTTTGAACCATTAACATAACGAAAAACTTTTGATTAAATATTCATTAGCGTTGATAAAAAAAAGTACGTAAAATGCAAGTGGCACCTCTTCGTACGTGTAGTCATTGTCAGATTGTTCAATACTAGTTGCCGTTCCATCCACATCGTCTGCAATATTATTATTTAATATTTGTACTGTTATTGATGTTATAACTATTTAATGTTAATATTTATATAACATTACATTAATTGTTATTATTACATCGATGGTTAACTTGAAAACATCCTTATTTCAACTATTGAAACAATTAACATAGACCAATCAGTCCCATGCCATTCAGAAATACAAATTCTCATGTCGGCCACCAAAGGAAGCACAGCAACAAATTCAATTAACTTTAAAGATCAGTAGTAAAGAATCACAAACGTTTTTCAGATACAGTAGTCTCAACTAAAGTCTTGTCTTTCTTCTTCTTCTTCTTTTTCATAGTGAAGTCGATGTTGTCATCATTGTCCAGCAGCGTGGCTTGTTTCTCATCCTCAACATCCCCTGCACCTGCCTCCCCACTTCCAACAACCTCCTTCTTCTGCTCTTTCTAGGATATTTCAAGGAGTTTTAAATTACAATCAGTTTATAAGACAATAAGAAGTAAAATCAAACATAAAAACAATATGAAAAAATAATCAGAAATTATTGTGTATTATTTTTAAGCTCTAATAACTCAAAACTTTTTGGTTTTTTACTCTGCTCTCTATGGAACTATTTCAAATGAAAATCTTTTACTGAAAATATCTTGAAGCGTAGATTTGTCAACTTTTTTCAAAATTTCGACGAGACAACAATCTTCAAATAACCTTAAAACAAGAACAGCATTTATCGAAAGTAAAATAAAAAATAAAATTTAACTGAAACTTATATAGAAAGCATTTAAATATAGCGGCTGAAATTTTAATATGAAAATTGAAGTAAAAAACTTAACAGGTAGAGCTGAACCCAGTTCAGATAAGTCAATTTGCTTTTTCTTCTTCTTCTTTTTTTTGTCCAAAGTTAAATCTAAAGTTAAACGAACAATGAGGCAAAAAAAGTTTGAAATAAAAAACCATTCAAAAGATACCGAGAAGTTCATCTGTTGGATCAATCTCAGGTTCAGCAACGTTGGTTTTTTCAACAGGTGATTCAACAGGGGGTAGAGTAGCAGTGGCAGGGACTTCCTCAGGCGGTGCTGTAGACTCCAAACCATCTATATCAAAAGGCTTCTTCTTCTTTTTCTTCTTCTTAGACAAGTTGGGATCGAAAACATCCTTAAAAATAAAATAGAATATTTAAAGACGATGATGATCCTAGAGTAAGCAAAAATTCTGAGCATAACTGCTATTAGGACATCAAAAAAATGTGAAGATGGAAAAATTGTTGCATAAACATCTTTCAAGTTAAAAATGAACTAAATAAGTTGTTGAAAATGAAAATTTTTTTTGAAAATTAATCTTCAACAAAGTAGGGAATGGAAATAATTAAAAACTTTTGATTCCTTATCCTTGACTTTTATAATTCTGTTTAATGTCTCATCATAATTTTGTTAACATTATCGCACAATGTCATATGTTATTATTAGCGTTTCTTAACCCTTAGATTACCAACAGGTTCAATATGGCCCATTTTGAAATTTAGCACCGAATAAAATAAAAAGTTTTCAATATTTTTGAAAATCATTTTATGAATTTTCCTAAATATTCAAGATGTGTATATTTCACTAAAAAAACTGTTGCCAAGTTAATTTTCAAAAGTGCTATGAAAAAAGTAACATGTTTTAAGGGCCATTCAAAAATTATGTCACGCTGGGGAAGCAAAGAAGAAGTTCGTCCAGCGTGACAGTGTGGGACAGGAGGAAAGAGTAGTTAACCCGATGAGTACGTATGCATCCTGTCTTTAGGCTGCTTCCGAGAAGCCGATACGTTCCAAAGAGTCCAGCAACAGTTGCTGCAGCCAGTTAGTCAATCAGCAACGAACATAGAACCAGTGCTAACTCCGGATCAAGTGCCATAGACATCAAAAACGTTCCACAGTTGAGCACTAAGGAATCAGCTGCACTTGAACCATCAAAGACAAAAGCATCTTTCAGCACACCAGCTCAGGACAAATTGCAGAAAGAGATTGTTGCATCAAATGCTGAACTCCAAGCCTTTGACTGCCAAAAAACACTTGGTGACTGGACAGAGGAGCAAGTCTCTGAAGTAGAAGCTAGAAAAAAAAACATCAAAGCTGAGAAGGAAAGAAAAAAAACAAGAATGACATAGAATGGACAGGAAGCATAAGTTTGAAAAGCTGTGTGCAAAGGACTCAAATCTTCGCAAGGAACTGCTAATGGTCACAAATGTTGTTGCAGTGGTGTTTACTTGCGTCTGTTACCAAAACAAAATGATAAAAAAAGGTTAAAGCCATGTGAACACAGTACCGGTAAAACTGGTTCGAGCACAGACGAAATTTCACATTGCGCACAATGACGGCAATATTGCCACGACCACAATAGCCTACATGAAACAGCTTGCAGCTGTGCTTGGACCTCAGGAAGTCACCTTTATTAGTCAAGATGACAAGGCACGTGTGCCAATAAGAATTACAGCAGCCAACAAGCAGGCACCACTATTGATGCATCTTGACTACAAAGTTACATCGCCAGATAACAATTGGGCGTCCCCTAAAACTCACTCCGGCCCTGGTCTAGGCTTTGAACATCAGATGAACCAGTTTGGTTTCCGGAAGATCAATCTTCGCTGGACGCTGTGAGTCTTGTTGTTCAAAAAGCCAAGGATGCCATTGAAGGGACAAGGTGGAAAGGGGAAAAAAAAGTTTGGTCTGGTGGCCACGTTGGACATTAAAAATGCTTTTAACTCTGCTAACTGGGATTGCATTTTGCATGCCCTTGATGAGCTGGATCGTAGCCTTACGTAAATAGCAAGCCTGAGCGCTCACATCCCTATTTTAATGTTTTGATCAAATAGGAGGCGAACGATTTATTTCATTTTATTGTTTACTTGATCGGCGTTGCACGTTTTATTTGTTTCTTCGTAATTGGTTACTTGTTATTCGGATTTAATTATCAAAAAATTTCGGAAGGAATAATATTTTGTAATAATGGTGAATAAATGTATTGTTCCGTTTTGCCAAGGGAATTATACAATTGAACAAAAAGTACATTCCTTTCGCTTTCCTAAAGATGAACACATGTTTCAAAAATGGATATCTGCAATTCCGAGAAAAGATTGGAAACCTACTTTGCATTCACGAGTAAGCATGATCTATTGAATAAAGTGCATGACCAGGATTTCAGATTTTAACTAAATCCCTTACATTGTTACAAAATTATAATACATTACATAGCTATGTTATTTGTTTTATTATTATTAGTTGTAATGTGAATGAGTAGCATGTTTATTGAAATTTATTAATTTTATTAATAATTTAATTACAAATAATAATTATATTTTTTTTTTAAGGTATGTGAAAAGCACTTTCCAGCTGAGGCCATCATTACTAAAAAATCTTCATTTGATGCTAAATCTGGAAAGATGATTTTGACTTCTCTCGAGAGGCCAAGATTAAAAAAAGATTCAGTTCCTTCAATATTTCCTGGATGCCCAGACTACTACAGCACATCAGTAACTCTCAGGGTGTCGCCGGATAAAAAGAGGCAGCGAATGGAAAGTTTGAATACTGACAATGTAATTACAAAAAGTCTGATGGAGCACAGTCAATATTTAACAAAAGACAAAATAAATAGTTTTTCTGAATTGTGCGACAAAGTAAAGGAACTTAAACTTTCTAAATTTTGGAATGTCGTATGTCGAGACAATGATATCTTAATTTTTAATTTATCACATGATGTACCAACAGAAATAGTATATCTACTCGTGGTAAACAAGGAATTAGAACTGAAATTGTTTTTTAAAAGTGTTCGCTTACAATTTATTAATGATATTGAGTCTCCGATAAATGTCAATTATATGTTTGATATAACGACTATTTTGGATGAAGTTGAAAAAAAAGAGAGAGATGGTCTTTTCAACAATAAAAAGGATAATTAAAGAATTACAGTCAATAGAATCTGGAAACTTGTTGAAACATGGATATGGTTTAACGGTCAAATCATTATGGCCGAACAGCATAGAAAAACAAAATGTGAAACTTGTTTTACGTGTATTTTCAGATTTTGTTATTCAAGCTCTGAAGGAATTAGGACCCAAACAAAATCTTCCTAACTATTTAGAAACTTCCCATTTCATTGAAATAATTTTGAGGTGGTGGAGAATTGTTAATGTAAAAACTCCAAATGCAGGAATTATAAAGCGAGATGATTATAGAAATCCTATCAATTCTTCTATAGATGATAGTGGCATAAATTACCTGACAAAATTTTTATTTTGGTTGGACAGTTGGAAACAGATGAAAACTACCTCTGGCTGTTTAACGAGAGAAACCTTTTTTGCCTTACGTCACACCACTACTGCTCTAATAGAGGCAAGTAAATACTGTTGTACCGAATTTAATTTAAAATATGTTTTGTTGGGGAAATTCCAAACGGATGCTTTAGAGTCTAGGTTTGGTCTATACAGACAATTGTCTGGAACTAATTATAATGTATCACTTAGACAAATCTTTGAATCAGAAAAAAAATTAAGAATCTCCAGTGTTTTGAAAAATAAATTAATTGGCTGTCTAAAGACTATTAAAGATGAATCCAGTGAAGATGTCAATGATAATTTCCTGGATCCATCAAAATATGAAAATTTACAGCTTGATGAAAATGATTTTGACTTGGAAGATGAAAAACCAATTATTGTATACGTTGCTGGATATTGTCTACATATAGCTCTGAAAAAGCTTAATTGGTGTCCATTATGTAAAGACTTGATGTCATTGGATAGATCAATGGAAGATGTGGACCCTTCATTTTCTGTCATTGCTAATGTGGACAGGGGTGGTTTGAAATATCCATCTAAAGCTATTATTGATTTAGTAACCTATAATTATTGTGTAGTAAAGAAATTAACAAGTGGATACTTTTGGAATATATTTAAAGAGGAACAAAGACAGAGAATGATGGCTATCAAAATAACAAATTCAATTTTAGATGATCATGAATTTAGTTATTGGCCAGACTGTGATAATGGTCATGCTGCAATTGATATATGTAATAGAATTTTGTATAGTGCTACTAATTGTTTGTTAAATAATTTTTGTAAAATGAAAAATGATACAAACACTAAACATAAAAATGTCAGAAAAATGTTAACGTTTCAATTTTTAAACACTTTACAAGGCTTGTTTATTTACGTTACTACATATATGTAAACAAAATGCGTTCGCCTCCTAAATGAAATTTGCATAATGAGCACTCAGGCTTGTACTTACGTTACTGGATGTACCAATATGCTTACGTCAAGGGAGGCGTGCCACAGTGCTCAGTTCTATGTCCTCTTCTATGGAGCGCAATGTACAACGGCTTGCTGAAGCTAAAACTGCTATTGGACGTCAGCCTCGTGGCATATACAAATGTGGTGGCTGTGGTCGTCGATGCGAAATAGCTTGAGGAAATAGAACTTTCCGTCAACACCTCATTTGCAAAAATCAGTGAATGGATGAAAACAGTCAACCTAGAATTGGCAAAACACACGACGTAAGCAGTACTTATTACAGGAAGAATACAAGCTGAAACCATTATGCTGTCACTTGGAGAACACGATATAGCATCACAATCATTTATTCGGTACTTAGGGATGATGATTGATACTCGACTAAACTTCAAACAGCAAGTGGAACACGTTAACCATAAAGCAATAAAAAGTGAATTCCAGAAGTTAATGAAGATGCAAAACACGTATTTTTTGAGTGCCCCCATCGCACATATATATATAATGTGATTTTTGTTAAATACCTAAAAACACCTTAGTTTGCAATCTTACCTGTTTAGATAAGAATCACATTAAGCTGTTGTTTTAACTCGGGGAAAAACGCATCTAGCCTAAAACGAGTTGGGTGTTCACAAAAATGCACCTTTGGTCGTTGATGGGAGATGTTGTACTTTATATACTTGTGCTTGCCGACGTAACTGATGACAGATCAACTATTCTCACATACATAAATATATTCGTCACTCAACATTTTAATCATTAAAGAATTATCATTTACTTCACATCAATTTTTGTATTTAAATTTTTACGTCAACAGTGCCTAATCATTTTACCAATTTTTTCACTTTGACATTCAAAAGAAATTTACTAGACACACTTCTGTTTCCTATTCCCATACTGTGAGATTAAAAGTTTTTCATTCCAGCTTCTAACGTAATGGCCCGAGGGTATGGGATACTGTATTGCCACATGAAATTAAAGCGATTAACTCATTATACTTATTCAAAAACAAGTTAAAAACTTTTTTAACTAGAAATAAACACTTATTTTATTTAATTTTACACTATTATTAATTTTTATGTTCTTGGTGAACAAATTTTCAGTCTCAGTTGTGACTATATTGTTACTGTTAGAATTAGAAAATATAACAGTACTATACACACACACACGTTTAGACGGCATTTTCCCCGAGATCGGGGGTTGCCGCTTGGGTACCTATAATGAAACCGAAATACCCCTCGACTCCATCCACATCTGTCACTCGCCTCAGTATCACGCAACCTCGCTTTCACCCTGTCCTTCTCCACCTGCTCTCTCCATCCCAATCGCGGACGACCCCTTCCTACCACTCCTTCAACCTCGAACTCCAACGCTCGCCTAATCCCGACCCTTTCATCCCTTCTCAACACATGTCCATACCACCGCAATCTCGATCTCCTTATCAATGTCACAATGTCCTCATTCAGTCCCATCATTGACATCAGCTCTGTACTACTCCTCCTATCCTTCACTTTAACCCCACACATCATCCTCACCATAGCTCTTTCAGCCCTCTGCAGTACACTTTCCTCCTCTCTCCTCAACACCCAAGTTTCACCACCATATATCATCGCTGCTCTCACACATGCTTTATATACCCTCCCTTTCATCTTCACTGACCATTTCTTTCCACACAATACCCCACCCAGTTCCCTAAATTTCATCCATCCCACACGAACTCTAGCCGTAACTGCGCTCAA